TACCATTGTATATATTGCTGTAATTTAAAATGACTTCAAAGAAATAAATAGTAAACAAATTAACATAACTTTTGAATATACATACAGTATGTGATGTTTATTCTATTTATACCAAACATTCAATGGATAATAAACCCTATAAATATTTAATAACGTTACCCCTATAAAAAATTTTTCAGAAAAATTATCACGTGTTTGAGTTTCTTCAGAATAAAAACTAGAAAAATGATCATTTATCGGAATTTTTTTATAGGGTACTTATGATTTTGAATCACCAATTGGAAATTATTTTCAAAACCTCAATGTTATTAAACAATAAATAACATATTTATTAATTGTAAAAATGTTAAAACAATAACAATAGAATAGAATGAATAACGTTTATTAAAAGTATAAAATATACTAACTATTTGTTCAAAAGAATAGATTCTCTTTAACGTCTAAATATCAATTTTCTACAGCTTCGTCGTACTAATAAATAGCAATTTCTATATTTTTGTTAGTCCCTTCACTATCACTATGTTCATTCATATAAATACGCAAGACTTTTTTGTGCAAAAATATTTCCTCCTTCTGCAGCCATCTTATATAAGCCAAATGCCTTTTCTTTATTCATATCAGTCCCAACACCATTTTCATAACAGTATCCAAGTTTAAATTGAGCATCAGCAAATCCTAGATTAGCTGATTTTTTATAAAATTCAAATGCTCTAACTTTATTTTCCCAAACGCCCTTTCCTAATTCATAAATCTCACCTAATTTATATAATGCATATTTATTATCATTTTTTTCTGCAGCTTTATGATACCAATAATTAACCTTATCTAAATCATTTACTATTTCTTCAAAATTTTCTTGGTAGTTATTGCCAGCTGCCTCATTATATAATTCAAATCCTTTTTCTTTATTAATTTCAGTTCCAATTCCATTTACATAAAAATACCCAAGTTGAAACTTTGCACTTATATGTCCACTTTCAGCTGATTTTTTATAAAGTTCAAATGCTTTAATTTCATCCTTATCTACGAAATTCCCTAATTCATAATATTCACCTAAATTACATTGTGCTACTTCATATCCATCATCTGCTGCCTTCTTAAACCAACAAAAAGCTTGTTCTAGACTCTTTTCAGTTCCTTCACCATTTTCATATGCGAGTCCCAAGCTATTTCGAGCATGATTATGCCCTGCCTTAGCTGCTATACTATATAATTCAAATGCTTTTACTTTATTAACTTCAGTTCCTATACCATTAGAATAACAATATCCAAGTTTACTTATGGCATTTAAATAACCTTGATTAGCTGATTTTTTATAATATTCAAATGCTTTTCTTTCATCTTTTTCAATACCTTCACCATTTTTATATAAGAACCCAAGATTATATTGTGCAACTTTATGACCATAATCAGCTGCTCTTTCATATAATTCAAATGCTTTTACTTTATTAACTTCAGTTCCAATTCCTTCATAGTAACAATTTCCAAGTTCAAATTGAGCACTCGGATATTCTTGATCAGCTGATTTCTTATAATATTCAAAAGTTTTGATTTTATTTTTTTCTATACCTTCACCTAATTTATATAAAATTCCAATATTATATTGTGCAACTTTATGACTATTATCAGCTGCTTTTTTATATAACTCAAATGCTTTTACTTTATTAACTTCAGTTCCGATTCCTCCATAATAATAACATCCAAGTTCAAATTGAGCGTCCACATATCCTTGATCAGCCGATTTTTTATAATATTCAAATGCTTTAATATCATCCTTTTCAACTTCTTTTCCAGTTCTATAATAATAAGCTAAATTATATTGTGCTATTTTACACCCATTTTCTGCTGCTTTAGTATACCAATAAATAGTACATTCGATATCTTCTATATCTTCATATAAAATACCAAGATTACATTGTGCAATAATATGTTCTTTTTCAGCAGCAATTTTGTATAATTTAATTGCCTTTAATATATTAATATCAATTCCAATTCCTTTTTCATAACAATATCCAAGTTCAAATATAGCATCTAAATATTCTTGATTGGCAGATTTTTTATAATATTTAAAAGCTTTTCTTTCATCTTTATTTACACCATCACCATTTTTATAAAGATTACCTAAATTATATTGAGCAAATTTATTTCCATTTTCTGCAGCTTCGATGAACCAATAAATAGCCTTTTCTAAATCTTTTCCTGTTTCAATTTCATTTAAATAATAATTACCTAGTTTATTTTGTGCAATTGAATATCCAGACTTTGCAGATTTAATATAATATACAAGAGCTTTCTTATCATCTTTATTTATTCCTATTCCATTTTGATAACAAATACCTAAATTATATTGTGCACGTGAATTTCCTTCATTAGAAGCTTTAAAATATGATTCAAATGCTTTCTTTTCATCTTTTGTTATTCCAATTCCATATTGATAACAATAACCTAAATTATTTTTTGCATTAGAATTTCCACCTTCTGAAGATTTAAAATAAAATTCAAATGCTTTAAATTCATTTTTTTTAATTCCAAATCCAAATTGATAACAATATCCTAAATTATTTAATTCTTCTAATTCTTTTCTTTTAATATAATCTAATTGATTTTCATTAAAATCTTTATCATCATCATCATCATCATTTATCATAGATTTAAAATAATTTTCCATAAGATTTATTTCATCCTTAAATAAATTTATTTCCAATCCATTAAAATTTTCAAATTGATCATATGATAATACATTTAATTCTTCTTTTTCATCAATCAAATTCTTTTTTTTATCAAAAATTATATCTTTATAATAATGAATTGATAATAAATATTTTGAAATAATAATATTAAGTAATTGATAAATAGAAATCAATTTTTTATTCTTATTATTATTATAATAATTATTAATTGATGATAAATATAATTTTAAAATTTTATTATCATCAATAATAATATTATTATTTGTATTTTTATCATCATCATCATCTTCTTCTTCATTTTGACCTTTTATAATAATATTATTATTATTTATATAAAAAAATCCAATTAAACTTGAAAACCAATTTTCATTTTCTTTATGATTTTTCATCAAACTTAAAATCATTTCAAAATCTTTTTCATTATTATTAAGATAATCTTTTGTCCATTCTAATAAAATATTTTCAAATTTAGGATAATATTCTATCTTTATAATTTGACGATAAAATTCTTTTAAAAATTCTTTTAAAAATTCTTCATCATCTTTTAAAATATTATTTAATGACATCGCGTTATTAAGGTAAAGGAGAATTTTTTTTGTTAAATGTAGTTCAAAAAAAATTAAAGGCGTTTTTCTTTACTCGTTTGACGTTTCACGTCCCGAAAAAATAAAACTCCAAATGGAAGTGATCGATGCTTACCTAAAAAAAAAAATTATTACCAATTTTCTAAAAATAATAGTGACACAAAAAAAAGTCATGCCGATTACAAAAATTATGCATAACGATTTTTATTTGACTAGATTATACCTTAGGCGTCAAAACTTTATATTAGTTATATAACCAATTAAATTTAGATTTAATAATACAAATAATATAGATTTTTTATATCCTTAATAATCCTTATTAAAAAAGTTACAGATAATTTTGTAATATACTTAATATATTCGGCATAATTAATATTTGTAATATTTTTAAACATTATACAAACGAAAAGTCGTTTTGTAAAAAAAAGAGTGAAAGAATGAATTTCTTTTCCGCAATAAACTTGTATAGAGTATGGTTTATTATTCAATGAATTGAGGATATTATTTACGTGCTACAAACATTTGTACTCAGCCAAGAATTTTTTTCCAAGTTCAGCGATATAAAACAAACATCGCCATGTAATATTCGTTTGTGTGAACGAGAATAAAATATATTTAGTAATTTTAAAACTAAATACTGAAATTCATCAGAAAACATTGTGATGACGAATAAATAATTTATATATCGAAGAATTAATGTTATAAACACGTGATATATAAATCAGCTTTTCTCAAGCACGTGATTCTGCAAACCATCAACTTTAAGTTTCTATACACCAAATACACCAAATCCTTTAAAATAATAAAATTGGTAATCAAGTATGAATAATGTAATTAATGGCTGACCACTCTAACTAGTTATAAGGCTGTCAGATTTTAAAAGTTTCTTTTTTTAATACAAATAATTACCGGGACTATACATAGATTTCAATTGATGATTTTGCTAAATCAAGATTCTTCTTGATGTGATTGTCGCATTATCGGATGTTGAGGATAATTCTTTTAATTTCCTTGATTCTTGTTTTATTTGAATATACTAATTTTAAAAGGAGGGAAAATGAGTAAAATTTTTTTTTTTTTTAAAAAAAAAATTATTCCATTAAATAATACCTGTATGCCATCAATTTTACCGAAAATCTTTTAAAGATTTAAGATTTTCGAAAAGAAATTGAATTGTGGTGGTACTTATCGAAATAAATATGGTATAACGATTATTTGATGATCATATTAGATGATAAAGTAAAATGAAACACTTGCGGTTGCGTTAATTAAGCGAAATGTAAAGTACAAAAAACTCCTTGCACTGAATATATACTGTAGATGATTTGAAATGTTACTATGTGATCGTGTGGTTGATGTTTCATTGTTTCAAGTATTACGTTTAAAATCTTTCGTAATATTACGTGATTGTAGGTATTTTCGGAAAAGATTCAAGATTTTTCATCCTTTCTAAATTTAATAAATAAGAAAATCTATATACAATTTTTAACTCCTATTCAATAATCATCGTACTCGTGAATAAAAAAAAAAAAACTGTTAAACTTTTATTTTATTTTAAATATTTAGTGATTTTAATATTATATCACTTCCTAAGTTTCTCTTTTATTTATTATAAAAATATCCAATTTGTATAATAAAAAATATTTACTAAGCATTCACTAAAAGATAATCCAAGGGATTTTCGGTATTACAATATTTCCTATTCAAAAATAATCTTTAATAAAGTCATTTATTAATTGATTTTTTTCTGTTTGAGAAATTTTACTAAGCTAAGTAATTTTACATTTATAACTATAACTATAAATTTTTCTTAAACATGAAAAAAAAAATAAGTTCTAAATTTTTCATTTATATATAAAGTTCGATTTTTTTTGTACATACAGTATATGTAGTATATATCTGATATAGATATTTTTGAAAAAAATTAGAGATCTATGATCGCAAAGACACCAGTATCAATATTTTCTCTTTTTCGTCGAGTTTGTTCGCTACGTGCCTTATCTTTCAGCTGACCTGCAGATCGATTCTCGAGGACTTGTCCTTTTTCTCCATAATTCTTCTTTATAGCTGCCCATTGCTTTCCATATTGACGCATACCTTCTTCAAGTGCATCCAATTCTTCATCAGTCCACTTAGTTCGTTTCGATCTTGTAGTTTCTTCGTAATCAGAATTGTCAGAATTATCTACTACTACTCTTCTCTTGCTCTTTTTCAAAAAAAAAAAAAGGTATTGAATTAGCTGATTATGATATGAATAGAAAATCAATAATATAATGAAATAATAAATCATAACCAACCTGGAATTATTTTCAACTTCTGGACTTCGCTCTACAGACGATTCTTCTGATGACGTTCGCCTGGAATAATCATACGTTAGATATTAATCTTCGAGCAAAGATAAACATTTAACTTACCTATCATCTACTGCTTCAGGCTGATCCACAATCATACTCGTCAAAGAACTTGATGAACGCTCTATTGTTTTTCGCCTAAAAAAAAAAAAAGATAATTTAAATTTAGGACTATATATTAATTGATTAAATAAACAATTTTCGTACTTAGGAATTGTTGCCCTTCGGTTACTTCGGTTACTACTGTTTGACTTATTATTACGTTCACTCCTTGTTGTTCTTCGACTTAATATTGATAATTAATCAAAAAATGTAAATGTAGAAAAAAAAAAAAAAAATCAAAAGGGGACTTTAAAATTAAAATTTAACTCACCTTGGAGTGAAAGTATGTGATTCACCATCGTTATTAAGTAATAAATCGCTTTGAGTACGCTCTACTGATTGATTACCATTAATGTTAACGGTAGACATCTTTTGTACCATTTCTTCTCTTCTTGTAAAAGAATCGCCTAGGTTATCAGAAAAAAAATCATCTCTTTCAATATCAGCTAATCTACGTTTCTTTGCATTACTATCAATTTCTTTTCGTGATGCGTCTTCAACAATAGCGATATTTTCTGAACTAGATGATGGTATATGTGAAGCCTCGTCCGAAGTATACTTATACAATAAAGGTATCTCAAATTTATTTACTTCATTAATTATTTTGGATAAATCTTTGAACATCTCCTCGACAAATTTTCCCCATTTAAACTCTTTTGTCAACTTGTCCACATCTTCGGAACAACTGTTGACAATATTACGAACTTTCATATATGTTTCCTTATACATTGGTGGACCACCTTCAATAACGACTGGAAACATAATATTGCACAAATTTTTTTGAGGATTCTTGTTAAGTATAGAAATATATATTTGTACTCTCAAGTTAAGATCTTGATCCCAGATTTTTTCAGATTGCATCAAATTTGGTGGTACGACGTATTTAAAGAAAGATTTAATATCTACTTTTTGGAGATCCGGCACAGCGGGATCAAAATTTGCAAATAACAAATTGAAAAAATGAGTTATGTTTGAACGTCTTACTAAATTAGATAGTTTATTTTTGTTTGATATTTTAAGCTTGTTAATGTCTATAAAATCGCCAGATTTTAATAAAGATTTTTTGACCTCATAAAAGCACATATATTTTTTTGACGCAACCCATTTCAAATGTTTAATTATGGAAGGTGCTTGATTTCGAATTTCCTTCTCAAAATATTGAAGTTGGGCTGCTAAAGAATCATAAGCTAACGTATCTAAGATATGTAAATATCTTATTAGTTCATCTTCTTTAGCGGTAATAGCGGTATCAATTGCGGACTCTGAAGTTTTTGACGTCATCACGAAAATAATAAAAAAGTCTGGTTTGAAATTGGAAAGCAAAAAGTAATAATAGTAATAAAAAAGAAAGTTACAAGGTGGAAACAAGATTTGTAAAAAAGAGAAGAAAAAACTTGTAAGGGGTAACGATAAAAAAAAAAGACAAAAAGATTTTTTTTTTAGGGGAAAAAAACTTGGAATACTACGCACTTGTGGTCTAAGGGTCTAAGCCACGAGAATTATTATGGTTTTCAAACACGTGTTTCCGCGTGATATGGCGTAGCATTTGACTCGAAAGATAGTCCTAAAAATTTTTTGATTTGCACTTGCATCTTCAAATGGTTGAAATAAAAAAGCTATTTTTTAAAATTAATAATTAAAAAAGTTTCTCATTAATCATAACATTTTATTTAATATCAAGTACTTTTAAATTTTTTATTCATTTATTTTTTTTTTTTAATAAAAGGCATCAATAGCCCCAGATTGGAGAAAAAGACGCGTCTTTTAGAGTTCATTCTCATAAATAAACAATAAAATTTTTGTAATACTCATGTACTATTATGAAAGTAAATAAATCAAACCCGCCATCACCATTAAACTTTATAATTCAGCCTAATTTCTTTTAGTATAATATATTCAAATTATTATGATCATATAATCTAATTGACCGTATTCATAGAATATTATTACGAGGAAATACCTTACACATAATCGATAAAAGACTATAAGGGTCGATTGGAAGAAGAAAAAAAAGGTTAATATAAGAAAAAATTAATATACTGTATATATATATATTTTTTTTTTAAACAAAAGAAAAATCAATACAATAATTTTTCTATATAGATTACCTTCTTTTAACTAATTCATGTTCATATAGCCTCTAATTGACTTTTAACAATTGAAGTTACAAGAACATAAAAACAATGATCAATAATTGTTAAATTATATAAATTTTATTTTCGGTTCATTAATCAACGTCGACGATATCGCTTCGTTGAACCGACATAAGATAAGAGAAAAAAAACTAAATTGTTCAATACTTAACTGATAGTAAGATTTAACAATATTGTCAATTAAAAATTATTAACAACAATATTCCTCCTAACTTATCGACATATATCAAATAATATGTCGTAACATAAATTAAATTAAATTAAATTTAGCGATTATCCCACTACATAAATGTCATAAATGCTGGCATCATCGCTTACATCTATTTGGAAAGTTCACTTTCCAAATAAAATGAATCATCTATAAGATCTCCGTTTATAGATTCAGTTAATGATATAATTTTTTAAATTACATTAAACATCAAACGACCCTAGAAATGTCACTTATAGTTATATATTCTTCATCAAACCCTGAGAAAAAAGAAAATATAATTATTAATAAATTGTCAACTCTCTTTAATAATTTCAAAGCGAATCTGTTACCAGAAAATAAAATAAAAATTTTTATGGAGCGTACAGTATCGTTATGTAAAGGATTATTAAATTTTTAGATTATATTAAAAATGACAAAATCAATAAAAAAAAATTCACCTATTTCCTATTTCTTATTTCCTAGAATTTTCATGAACTCAAAATAAATTATTATTTATTAAAGAAAAGAATCTTTTTAAATGATAAAAAATTTCGATGAGATTGTCGTAAAGAAAAGAGAGAGGAAAGGAAGAAAATTTTTTCTCATGCATATGTAATGATGTAATTTATCCTGATCGACCTAGCCTGTGAAAGGAGACTAACCAATTTAAACATTGAGTTACTATAGTTGGTTACCTCATTGTAAAAAAAAGGCTAAAATATATGCAATCATCATTGAATTCATCGAGATATTAAATAGTTTATTAAAAATTATTTATATTATTGTTAATTGGGTTCTCATTTCTACTTTGGGTATTTCAATTTTCAATTTTTTAGTTCGAGATGATCATTTCGATATTAAGAAATTTAATACTGCATATTTATATGTTGGACGACAGTACAATATATAACCAAAATCAGGATAATCGGTTATTAATGATCGACTTGACAAATCTTATGATAATTTATTGTTCAGTCTATTAATATTGATTGGTTCTTGCTTCATCGCTTACTAATTGACACCACAACATAATGTCGTCTTTAAAATTTATGTACACAAATCCAAAGATTCTTCCATAAATTTCAAACCAACTCTGGTTATTATATAATGACATTTTTTTGCAATTCCCAATTTTTAAAAGTTATAATCAAACCTTTAACCGTCTTCATTATATCCTCAAAATATTTACACCGTAAAACATTAATACAGTATCTTTAATTTTGTAGTTGATAATGTTACGTGATAATTTTTTTTTAATAGTTACAATTCAGAAGTATATTTAATTAATCAATATGTATTAAATACGTAATAAGTTACCCTGCTGCGCCGTAATACCCTTTTATTTTATAAAGTATCATCGTGCAGTACTGCAGTAAGAGATATTTCTCAAGTGTTGATTCAATATATTGTGTTAAATTCTTTTTTTCTAGAAGAAACCACAGTGAAATTCAATATACCGGAACCTCGATGTAACGGATCATAAGTAAAATCTTAATATATCGGAATTGGGGATTATCATAACGTATAGTTAATTTATATATCGGAATTCTTGATATAACGGATTTTTGACAAATTTTACTAATGGAACGGATGGTTCCATTATACCGAATTTCACTGTGTAGAAATTTTATAAAATATTTTACTCTTTAGTCTTTACCGTTCAGTAAAAAGATTGCGTTTGCGCAACGAAAAAAAAAATAATCTTAAACCATGTAATTTATACACTGTATATTAGTATATATATATTTTATTTTTTTTCTTCATATATAATTGAGTTATTTGAATTTTTTTAAAAAATCTTTCTTCAAAGAAAAAAAAAGATGTTCAAAAAGGATGAGTAATTGTTAAAATCGGGGACTAAAAGACTTGTAAAAAAAGGAGTAAATTTACTAAAAAATTATAATTAATGATTTCGCTTTTTCACAAATTAATTTACATCATTTCACATTTCGTAATCCCGGAAACAATTCTTTTTCTAAAAACAGAGGTAATATCAAACTGGAAATAGTTCCCTAATCGTATTCCAGATTACCTTTTGCTGCATCATCATAATGTACAATCTCTAATTCAACAACAGATTCACTATCGTTTATCAACAAAATAATATTCAACAACAATCCTTCGATACTAACCAACCTATTTCCCAAGTGCACTCAAATAATAACATCTATAATACAGCTTCGCGGAATTTTTTTTTATGATATGGAAAATTCTGAATTCTGGAATTTTCTCTAAGGACTAAGAGGCTAATTATTAAATCTTTTTTTCGGTAAAATAAAATAAGTAAATTTGTAATTTTTTTTTTTATTAATTTGACAATAAAAGTTATAAAAGTTCCGATTATGAATGACAACTCATTTTTATTTTTTTTACATGATTTTCTTAGTTAAATTAAATGACCTTTACTGAGTTTTTCTCTATAAAGAATGGTTTCTAATAATTTCTTTTTATTGTTTTTATGTTTCATTATTTTTGTTATTTTATTAGTGATATTAGATTAGTATTTTTCTTTATTCTCGATATATTTTATTCTATATTTATATAGTATCGAATCTTGTTAAAAATTGGAAACTAAAATAATTAATTAGTGGGTCTCTTGGTCTACCAGGCGCAGACTGTAGGGCGATTTTGCTAAGAATGCTCGTTTCATACTTAGCGTACACGTGGGGTTCTATTACAAGAATGACGAGTGGTTTATAAGTAAGTTAATAATGTTAGAGTAGAATATAGGTAGTTTATCATTTTTAATAAACTTATAAATGTACTGCGGTTAAAAAAAAATAATAACTAATTAATTATATTGAACTTATTTTATTAATATTTTGAAAAGCCAAAAATCAACATTTCTAAACACTTTCCTTTATTAAGTAAAAATTGTGAAAAAATAATGTACAACGGTCGTTAAAAAATAACATAATCGATCACATCATGAATAAATGATTCTATTTTAATAAATAGCGGGCATGGAGTAAGCGCAACCGACTGTTTAATTAATTAAACTTTTAATTAAAATATATTTTAAAGTATGTTAAAAAATATCTTTATCATACTAAATCATACTCATTCCTTATTTATATATACTTTTTTTATTTTTTATTTTTTTTTTTTCCAATATGGATTTTCTCCGAATGTTACGTATCATTCATCGTTAGTTATTATATCTAATCACGATTGTTTGATGATTTTAAGATGATTTTTATGATTTCATCGATTAATAATTATAAGGGACGTTTCATCGCACATTTAATATATATTTATTAAGTACATAAAGTTAAAAAATTTATCAAATCTCTCGAGTGTGTTCCAGTGGTAATAAGACGAAACGTATAGAACGAAGTAATAATGACATAATCGATTTAGAAACGAATTGAAATTTGGAATTCACGTTTAGCAACATCAAAGAAAAAACCGTTTATGTGTCTTAAATCTCGAATTAATACATCACAATTTACAAACGATTGAAGAAAGTTATTTAATGGTACAAACTTCTATGAAGATGAAAAGTCTCTAATTTTAATTTTTGCTTGATAGATGTTTAGGGTCTTCGTTATTTCTGCAAATTTTTTGACGTTGACAAACATTCTAGATTTTTTTATAGTATTTTCATTACGAGAAAGGAACTTCTGAAAGTTTAAATTGCATGGATCCTTTTTCTAATCTGAAGATACTTTTTGCTATTGTGTAGAAATCATGTGCAGAGTTTCTGCAGTTTGTTAATCCTTTAATACATTTTTTGATGAGCAGTATTGGTAACATGTAACAATTGTAACATGGTTATCTTGTAAAAAACATGGAGTTAAGTAAAAGAATGTGTAATTAAATATTACATTATATACTTTCTGGTTGATAACAGTAAAACAATATTTTATCATCAAAGGTTTGATGCATGCAAAATATCAATTCCAACTGAAGAACAAATGGACCTTTACATTGATTGGTTATAAATAGCAATATCAGGTAATTACATTAAATATTATGATTATGTAATAAAGAAAAATAAGTAATAGGCCTTTTAGAAATGTTATTCATGCAAATCATAAAGATTCTGATACTGTTATGGTTTTAAAATATCCATTTAATTTAATTATTAATGAAATTATTAACGGGATAAAATATATTTAGAAATACAATGTGATATTGATTCCATGCAAGCATCTGATTTTATGGATTTCAAAAATGGAAAACAAATATTTATTATTTACGGAGTAGGATCATTACAATCCTACTTTAAAAAAAAAATTTAATAAACTTGAATGGAACAATAAATATAAATTAGTGCCCAACTTACAAGTGCTGTAAAATGTTTGTGTAATGAGAGAATTATTTATTGTGATTTGATAACATAATAATTATTGTACATTTTGTTTTTTTAAGCAATAAATTAATACTGTATATACTGTATATTCATTTCAACATGCACAAATGTCCTTATGCATCAAAATAGAATATAGTTAGCAGACTTTGATTAATGCATCAGAAAAATATTTAAAAATAAAAGTTAACAATATAAATTAAATACGATCAGCTATAAAAAATTTTACATTTAATTTAATTTCATACATTGGTAATGATTTTATATACTTAATATTATTATTTGATGACTTAAATTTAATAATTGGAAGAGTTATAGAAAAAAAGATTTATTTTAATTACATACTTAGAAACTTTGTAAAATATTTACTGCTCTAGTCTCAGTGTTTAAATAATTCTAAGTAAAATAGTAAAAGTGAATATAAATATTTGATATTCGAATAAGCTATAAAAAAAAAGAATTATTTAAATTACAAACTAAGAAATTTGTAAATACTTTAATACTCTAGCCATTTAAATAAATCTAAAAAGAATAAAATAAAAAAACAAATTTATCATGTCAAAACTATGAATCTTTTAATAATTAGTTAATTTCATTTTTTTTAATATCTAAATAATTAAATAAATAAAATTGATTTCACATAATTAATTTGCAAAATTAATTTTTCATTATATACGTATGTTACTATAAATACCTAATTATTTATATCTTTAATTATACAATCATTCAAATCTTTAGATTATATATTGTTTCAGTCATCAACTAAATATAATAAAATATAAATATTAGTTCAATATAAATATCTTAGCTTAATAAGTAAAGAATTAACTTACTACAGAAATCTGGATTGAGTTGATCACTGGTCTGCGATTCCAAAGTTAAATTATCTAAATCTATAATAAATATACCATTTTATTCTCAATATTATCAATATAGATAAAAGATAAAGGAATAAAATAAATATGATACCTTTAACTAAATTGCTTGTGACAATATTTCCTAAACCCATTGTTTTAAATTCATCCAATATTTTATTAATAGTTGGTCTTTCTTCAGGTTCTTTATTCCAACAATTTTTATAGAGTATTTCATATTCTTCAGGAGTCCCAGGAATTGTATCCTCACGAGCACCATTATAAATAGAAATACCGAGGCCATTTCCATAACAATCTTTAAATGGAGTACATCCACTAGAAATTTCCCACATTAATACACCGAAGCTATAAATGTCTGAAGATTTAGTATATGGAAATTTTGGATTTATAAGACGTTTTGGTTCCATATAAGCAACAACACCAAAATTGCCAATATAGGCTGTTGAAGTTTGATTATTTTGATTTTTTGAAATACCGAAGTCCGTAATTTTAGCGTTATTTTCATGAATAACTATATTCTTAGAATGCTAAAATAAAGTAAATTATATAAATACACTATTATTTACTTGGTACTATAATGATATTAAATAATAAATACTAATACTTACAAGATCTCTGTGCAGAATATTTTCATTATGCAAGCAATTCAATCCATCTGCAATTTGAAATGCTAATTTTTTCTTATCATTCCAAGTCAAGTTCTTGAAATTTACTTTAAGATAACTTTGAAGATCTCCATCATTAGCATATTGCATTATAAGAAGATATTCATTTGTTTTTCGATCTAAAAAAAAATTGTATGAAATTAAAAAAAAAGTAAAATAAATGTAAAAAATGCAATATAAAATATTTCAAATTACCTAAACTAATACCAAAGCAACGTATAATTCTATCGCTATAATTAAGGTGCAGGTGCATTTTTAATTCATGAATAAATGCATCCAACAAATCATTCTTAATATAATTTGTATTTTTCAATTTTTTGCAAATAACATAATTATTAATTTTGGTCCAAGTTGCTTTTTCTATTTGCCCAAATCCTCCTTCATGAAGTGGTTCTGCATTTTTTAGCTCTTCATAAGATATAAATTTAACTTTTTCATATTTTAATGCATTTTCAATCCACTCAGTTGCATTTAAAGTACTTTCTTCTGCTTTTTTAAACCAATAGATAGATTTTTCCAAATCTTTTACTACTCCTTTGCCAATTTTATAAAGAAATCCAAGTTTATATTGTGCATTATTAAATCTTTGTTGAGCTGCTTCTTGATACCAATAAGAGGCTTTAACTTCATCTTTTTCAATACTGATTCCTTCTTCATAACAAACACCTAAATTAAATTGTGCTTCTTTATCTCCATTTTCTGCTGCTTTTTGATACCAATGGAAGGCTTTTTCTAAATTCTTTTCTATTCCTTCTCCATTGTCATAACATATGGCTAAA